GTCTTTCGTATCGTTTATAGTTTGCTGCTCAAACTACAGGCTGACTATGAGATGCTGTGACACACTGGCTCTTACCCTGCTGGGAGTGAGTCTGTGGTGGGCTCTGTGGTGCTGTTGCTGGCCTGCTCCGTGCTAGAGGTGGTGTTGGAGCTGGGCTCCACTGAGGCAGCTGGACCCAGGGCTTCCTGCTGACCAGGAGAGGGGCTACTGCTGCTGCTGCTGGCAGCTGGAGACCTGCCCGAAGGAGAAGAAGGAGGAGGCGTGTGTAGGGACACGCCGCGATTGTTCTCCAGTCCATTAGACGTCAGCTCAACCTTATCTGAGAGAAGACACGGGCAGCAAGAAGCATAAGAAAAGCTGGGAAGATGATGTGATGCGTTCTTACAGTCAATTAAGAAATTACAGTATAAGAGTGAGTGGACTGATGGCTGCATGAGAGATGATTTGGGACCAAGAAAGACAAACAAACGTTTTTTTGATTGGTTGATTACAAGTAGCTGAAGCATCTGCTGTATATTACTCAGCTACTCTCTTTTCCCACATTTCCTTTCTCTCCACCAGTGCTGTCAAATAAAGGCATTAAACGCTTCCAATGACCTTTAAATTAAATGTTAAGTTTGGCAATCTTTAGACGGTAACACAATTTCAAGCTTCAAGTTTGGCATTTGCACTTGGAAGGTGTTTCTAATTCCCCAAAATGAGTGGGCGATCCTTAGGCTGCAAAATAAACACAAATCTATCTGCCTGTGAGAAAATCACCGAAGGATGCACACATACAATGTTTTTATTGACTGAAGCCCTGCAGTAGCCTTTCAGCATAGTTTTCAGCCTGCTCATCTCGATAAGTTGCTTAATTTAATCATTTTGTTTAATTTTGTTTAGTGTGTTGAACGTCTTTCAAAACTGTGACACTACGCATATCTAAAATTGTCATGTGACATATTTCGGAGTGGATAAAAACTTTTTGATTATTTTCACTACAGCTCATCTCCTCATAATTCTTTTTTATCAAATGTATTATCTAGAAAATGGTAGAAAGTGTGAAGAATTCCATTATCTCTCTTATGTTTCTACTTTTTCTGACCTAAAGTCCAAAATTTCTCTCATTTGTGACAAAGTAAAGCTTAAAATCCATTTTCCATACGAAGCATATATAAAAGCTGCTGATTAAATTTCTGTAAATAAACAGCTGAAATATTATCTTAGCCACATCTACCATTCGCTGTAGCGTGGTGTAACGTGGTTATTTTCTTGGATGCTCCCTTTTAAAAGCTTCCTCAGCAGTGTAACCACATAAATGTAAAAAGCCTGTGTTCTTAAACTGTGCGTGACACCGTGGCGAGGTGAGCAGACTTTCCTACCTGCGCTGTTTCCGGGGCTGCCGTGACTCTTAGAGGACTGCCGGCGAGCAACGGGTCCGGGGATCTGCTCCTCACTCAGATCCCCATTTGTCAGAGAGCTCCCTCTGGAGTCCCCCGAGGACTCACCCTGCGAACCCCCCACTGAGTGCCTGTTGCTCCTGAAAACAGAGAAAGAAAAGAAGAAGACATATCAACATCTGCACTTACTTCATTCACCTCGTCCTTTTATATCCTTTGTTTTGACGACTCACAATTCAACCACACACGCAGAGGTGTCAGCTGCTTTTCCTCTCTGAACACTATCATATTTTCCCCAACGCTAAATATAACTTTGCTTTTCTGACGAGAAAGAGAAAAGCATGATGGCTTGCCCCCCAGGACTGAGGAATGCTGGGGCCGAGCTTGGACGGCGATCTCTAGATTCAGTTGTTTACGCAGCTCAATAAGGAGAAGAACTAACAGTGCAGTGTGCACGTCTGCATGTTTTTATGACCATGTTCATGCAATGAGAACACTTGAGAACAGCATAAGAAGCCTCTCATCTTGTCTGTTGGTGGCATCTCTTCATATGCAGTATAGAGATGTTGACTGCCTCGCCATGACAGCAGCGGTTTAGGCTCTTGGCTGAACTGTGCTTAATGCCCCCCCACAGTGTTTAGAGGGAAATACCATCTGACCCCATGCACTCCCGCAGCAAAGCTTGGAAATAAATGCAGCCTGCTCCACTATTTATTATCTCGCTACCATTCTAGCCAGTGAGAGCTGCGTCTGAAACCACACTTGGGGGGGGAATAACATGCTGGCACTCTGCATAAGTGCTTCAGTCGAATGGCTTCCTCCACTCGACCCTTTTCTTCTCTTTTCTGCATTTATTTTGATTACAATTACGCCTGGGGTTTATGACTTTCATAAACAGTTTTTTAGAAACGGGTTTGGAAAGTTTAGCATTGTATTTATTATTATTGTTCTTACTGTACCACAACGTCTGCAGACTTTCTAAAGCGGTGGGATTAAAGAAGCCTTTTTCTTTTTTTTGGTTTGTTAGGCTATAAAGAATCACAAAGTCTTTTAAAAATCTGACTTCTGCAAATAAACATTAAGACAGAATAATGCTGAAATGATGGCTTTTATAAATACACTCTATTATTCTGGTGTTCAGCTATTCAACAGGAGATAATCATGACTTGTATTTGATGTTTTGCTCGCCTGATATGCCAGAAAAGTGAATCTCTTTGGAGTTTTATTGCCTATTAGAAAAAATGAGCTGATTTTTATTTTTTTTTATTTAATGTTTTAGACATAAGCTATAACTTTAGCTTATCTAATGCAATATATCCCGCAGGAGATGCCAGTACAGTCTACAGTATTCCCCACATAACTCATAAAGAAGCTCTAATGAAAGCTGGCTACAGTGTATGCACCTCCTTTTGTATATCTTGTTATATTTCATGTTATAATTCAGAACTTTTATGAGCCTAAATGTCACTGTTCATTATGACAGTTATGACAATTAAGAAATCCCAGACTTTTGGGCCATCTGTCCTGCTGTGTCACCCCAAGCTCTTCAGGAGCTGGAGAGCAAAACAACAATATCCCACGACGTGCTCTAATAAAATAATAAAATAATAAAATAAAATATCAAATTTCCCCTAGATGACAGCAAGCTGTGCAGATCCAGGAACCCAAAGTCCGTTTTATGCAGATGCCAGATGGTGGGAATTATTACACCGTGACGCAAACGCAAAAATTTGGGAAGGGGATAAATGATCCCCTTTCTTGTGTGGAGAAAACCACAACTAACCACCACATATGTTGGTAGAAAAAGATTCAGAGTCTTGAACTGAGCTATTTCCCAGAATCCCCCGTTACATGTGTAACGGCACAATGAGTTGGATGTTAACCATAGTTTTACTCCATTAAAATATTGTTGAAGCATTGTTGAGGACTGTACCCAAATCCCAAACAGTCACAGTGTGTGTGTCTTTGTGTGCGTTTTCTGACCTGGCCTGTGATCCCGCTGTACTGGGAGTCTCCTCGCTCTGTGTCCTCCTCAGGTTGGGTCTATCCGACTGAAGTATCTCTGCAACAAAGACCGATTACATCATTAGTGGACAGACATACACTCGGACACATCCATATCACGCTCCTACCAGCACAGTAACAGTTCAGCAGTGAATCCTTGACTAGATAAAAATTAGTCAAGTCTCCTTTAGCTTGTGACAAAACAGTGACAGTTCGGGCTGTTTCTGTCTCCTGCAGTAGACAGCCCTGTTACTATAGCAACCCAATGCAATCCAATAAAGAAATAAAAGAGGAGGATGTAGAGTCAGGTTTGGTTTTATTCACTAAACAGTGACAGGGCCAAACAAGTGCACGTGCAAGGTTTCTGAAACTAAAAATGAGGATGTGTGAAATTAATTTAGTGTACTATTTAATTCACGCAATATTTCTGCAAGGTAAAACAGAAGGTTTAACCTCAGACACCACTGTTTATCTGCAGGAAATGTCACACTTGGTTTTAGGGCAAACAAAAAATTCCCAAAATGTGTAAAATGTCCATCTGCATCTAAAGGTCAGAGGTCATTCTTTCGAGGACGCAATGTTCACACTTTGGACAGAGAAGACAGATGGTTTGAACGAGGAGTAAAAGAAGCCATCTATGTCCACTGTGAACGAACATCTCGGATGAGAGGTGAAACATCTTCAAGGAAACTTAAAGAAGTCCAGATGCTTTTCTTTCCAAGCTTCTTAGACTATGATGACCTGGATGACTGAGAACCTTCACAGATATAAAATGTCAAATATACATTTGACATTTTATGTACATAATGAAGCAAACACATACTATAATCATCAAAACCTGCAGTTCCTCCAATGGCCACTGGAGGCTGGCTCTAAATTTGAGACAATCCCCATGGACTCGTATGAGAAAATGTCCATTTTCAGCAATTAAATAAAGAGGTTTACAACCTGGCACTAAAACATTGTTTGTCTTCTTTATAACGGCTGCACATGGATAGGAGTCTATGACTGACAGTTGTGCTAACAGGCAGCAAATCACTCAACTGAACCTCTGAATGGTTCAGATATTTGATCTGGACAAAAAAAAA